AAAAAACATCTGAGGATATAGATTATGTAAATGAAGACCTAATCTGCATAATTTATAGGAATTTCTTATAATTTCGTAGTTGTAACTGCTGGGAATTTTATACTTGACACATTTGGAAGTTAAGTGAAGGTGAACATCAATAAACATAATTTATTCAAATCATGACCTCATTTGCATAAGTTATGAGGAAGTGCTATAGTATGATAGCCTTTTTGTTAAGATAAGGCTATCATTGGGTGGAGAATATGATCAACTGATATAATTCATGCAAATGAGGCTCTCATTTGCAAAATCAATGATCAATGATCAAAATTGTATAATTCGTCAACCGCAAGGGTTAACATCATTTGGCGAAGGTATGAGGTCGTGGAACTCTAAGACTTGTTTATCTATATCCCAAACATATTTCAAACCCTGGTCTAAGTATGGTGCACCTACCAGACAGATGTGGGAAATGACAATTAAAAACGGGAAATATGATAATGTTAAGACTAGATTCTATGTTTTCCACAGAGATCACAGCACAGAGTGAAGCCAATGAGATTAAGGAGAACTGGAAGCCGCCTTTCCTGACCAATGAGGAGTTTTCTCAGCTGATGTTGGATGTGAGTACTCAGGCTGATACATGCTGCTGGCATCATGTGGTGTAAGGGTTAAAGTGTTTGGCCCAGAACCACAAAAGGTGGTCACAAAACTCCCACTTACTACCCAGTGGGATTAGGTCAGGTTAGGTTACTAATAGGTCAGGTTAGGTTAAGTTACTAATTGGTTAGGTTACATTTGTAGGTTAGGTTACTAATAGGTTAGGTTAGTTTACTAGTAGGTTAGGTTGGGTCCAGTGGGTCGATGTTGGACAGTCCACATATTCTAATGTAATATTTTGGATGCACCAGAGTTCTAGCCAGCTTGTAAATTTTTTCCGTCAACCCACATACATGTATATCGAGTGTAATAACGGTGCGACAATCCTAGGGGGGTTCTGGGGAAAATTTTGAAAACCAGATCCTCTGAAATGCTATCTCCTGAATTTTAAGGGGCAATTTTTGCATGTAGACAAAGCTCATTTGGGGGAAAATTACACGAAAGTTTCAGCTTGATTTTGAGGTAAGAGTGGACCTTGGTTGGGTCAGCAAAGAAAAGAAGCAAAATTTTGTAACACAAAACTTGTTGACTAATTACGACAGATATTTAGGTAAAAAAATAAAACATTTTCAACACCGGGGCCTTTGTAATCTGTAGTCTGTACAAAAATAATGTCGTTGAGGAAAATTTTGAAAACTAGATCCTCTAAAATGCTATCTCCTGAATTTTGAGGGGCAATTTTTGCATGTAGACAAAGCTCGTTTGGGGGAGTAGTTCAGCAATGGTCAGGGTGTGTTAGGGGGTCAAATTTGACTCAAGCTTAACTTTGATTTGATTTGTATAGTATAGAAAGGTAGGCTTGGCCTAAATCTCATGGGTCAGATTGCTTCCAAACTTCAGCTGACCTTGGTGGGCTGGTGTTTGGGGGCAAGGTCAGGGGAAACAATAAGCTGTATGTTCATTTTTAAAACAATTTTCATATGGTTGGTCCCAACAGTAGCCTGACATTGATGCAATTTTACATGTACTATTTTTTCAGGCAACTAAATGGTTTTATGCTGGCAATCAACAAGCAGGGCAAGATCCTTTATGTCTCTGAAAATGTCACCTCTTTACTGGGACATTTGCCGGTGAGTAGGTCTTATTAGAGTCTTTGCTTTCTTTACTGGCAAACTTCACCCCTTTATGCAAAGTCAAAAACACGCACATTCACTCTCACAGATATATAGAAATTGATAGAATACTACACAGTGTATTCCGTATCGCTTGAGGTACCAGCCCGACCGCGGGTCGGATTGCCCGAAGGCCAGAGGGAGATCTGATCTGCGTGAGGGCTCAGGGACCGAGGGTGATGCGGAATACACCACGTAGTATTTTATTTAGGTAATACCCTGACCCGAGAAAACAGACGTTTCAATGCGAAATGTGCCAAAATTTGGTGTATCTAAACATTAAGTGTAACGGTGTCAATTCCAACATCTGAATTTGGTGTTCGAAGTTTCGAAATATTATTATGGAACATTTGGATGTCCGGGCTGTATGGGTAAAGAACCCGTGGCCATACCGCTACATGTACATGTAGTTATCACATGGGCCGGAACACCCATATCAAACGTAATCTGGTGGTATGTTACGCCGAAAGGCGGTTATACCGGCTATACAGATACAGAATCAAGGCCCAGGTATGACATAATTATATTAAGACACAAACACACAGATACACTACTCCACAGATACACTACAATGAATAATTGATTTTGATACTGTAATTCACTTTATGTTCATGGTAGCAAAAGTTCACAGTCTGAGAAAAATGGACACGTTCACGGAAATACATAGACAAAGTATGATGAATTATTACATGCATGTTAGCAGTGGCGGCAGGTGCAGAAAAAAGAAAGTTATTTGTTCATGGTTACCATAATTATGATAAGTTCATGGCACAGAAGTGACCGCAAAAAAATACGAACATAAGAGTACCATGAAAAAATTGTGTAGTAACGGGGGGTGCCCTAACATCGAGCGCTTTTTCACACGCTCGAACTCATCGTTAGTTGTCAGAGAGTGGTCAGGTTTTGATGAAAGAATTTTGAGAACATTAATGTAAACAACATACATGGATAAGAAGTTCATTCATACTATTCATAAGCCCTTCATGCTCCGTGTTATAACAAGTGACAAACTCTGTGAGACGTTTTCGTGACTGTACCTTCGTGAATGCGGCTACGCTAGACAGTGTGCCCTAACTTCGGACACTTTGAGATGAAATTCAGTAAACAAAAATAATAATAGAATTTTACGATATTTCAGCTTTGTATGGACAGTAAAATTGTGATTGTGTGTATGTCTTGTCTCAGGAGAGGAGTATGCGGTCCCAGGGGAATCACAACAGTTGTGTTCACATTGTTTTTCACGTCAGTTTTCTACAAAACAAACACTTAGAGATTCACATACATGTATCTACTGTTTTGTAAAGCTTTATTCCTTGTGTATGTGGCAGTTGTGTCAAATCTTGGTACAGGTCGTTTATTTCTGGTCACGAGCTGTCAC